CCTAGGTTTATGTTGAAATTCATTGAAGATATTAATAGAATTGAGTTGGTTGATGTATTTGTGGAACAGTTTGTTGATAACCATGATATTATAGATGAGGCAGAGTAAGGTCATGGGTATGATTAAGAAGTTAATATTTATGTAGGATTTGATGGAGGTGAAAAAGTTGATGCAGATGAAAGAGTTAGTGTTAGTGAAATAGTTGATGCTGGTGAAGGAGTTGATGATGATGCAGATGAAGACTATGTTACAAGTGAGGCTAAATTTAGTGAATATGAGATAAGTGAAGAATTTGTGGATTTCGATTGAACAATAGTCCTACCTACTAAAAAGGATACATTAGACCAATTAGTGGGTAAATCTTCATTTGAGTTTTAGTAAGGTCATGATGAGGATTATGATCACTTATGTACACCATTTTCTAGTGAGGATGAGCAAGAGTATGAAAATTTTCCAAGACATAAATTTGGTGACACAGTTAAGTTTGAATTGGGTAAGGTGTTTAACACTAGAGAATTAGTAAGGGACACTACAAAGGAGTATGCTATGTAATCAAAGAAGAATGTTTTCTTGAACAAGAATGATGGAAAAAGTATGGTAGTCAAGTGTATTGAGGGATGCAAGTTTTACATGAGATTTAGTAAAAAGGTTGGGAACCAATATTCGTAAGTTGCAAGTTTATTTGATGACCATACATGACAAAGGACATCATAAAATAGACAGGAAAATACTGAATGGTTTGCCAAGAAATTTGCTCACGTATTAAGACATAATCCTAAAATGAAACCAGTTGGAGTTATAGTTAAATCAATTGACAAGTGGGGTGTGAAATTGTCAGCAGACCAGGGAGATAAAACTAAAAGAAGAGTTGTAAAACTAATACAGGGTGTTGGAAGGGATCAACTCACTCACTTAAGAAGTTATGCACAAGATTTATTGAACTCAAACCCTAAAAGTAATGTTGTGCTTCAATAGTGTGACTCTGCATCTGACCCTGTCTTTGAGAGGATCTAAATTTGATTAGAGGCATGTAAAGCTAAATTTGCAAACTGTTGTAGACCACTTATAGAGCTTGATGCATGACTTTTGAAAGGAGTTTATGAGGGACAGTTGATTGCAGCAGTTGGTAGATATGGTAATAATCAAATATTTCCCATTGCATATGTTGTCGTAGAGGCTGAAATAAAGGATCATTGGGAGTAGTTCAAAAACCTCCTAGTTGATGACTTGAAAAACATTAATTAAAGACCATATGCTTTCAAATATAATCATCAAAATGTAGTCTATTAATTTTTCTTTTCTTATAAGGGGAAGAAAGTTGTTGATAAGGCTATACCAAAAGGGGAAGAGAGTTGTTGATAAGGTTATACCAAAAGATGGTAACTATACCAAAAATTCTAAGACCAAGAAGACTGCAGTTACCAAGAAGACAAAAACCAATAAGACAACCACTGAACCTGAAATTTGTTAATGGGGCACTACGTTGGGAGTTGTAAGCGGAAGAGAGCTATTGATAGGGCTAAACTAAAAGGTGGTAACCAAACCAAGATATCTAAGACCAAGAAGACTGCAGTTATCTAGAAGACAACCACTGAAACTGAGATTTTTTCTTCTTCACAAGCACTAGCTCCAACACAACCAAGCCAAAATTAGATTTAGCATGTTGAAGTACTTTTTGTAATGTTTGTGAGGAAACTATGTGTCATCACTAAGTTGTTTTTTGTTAAATATGTAATGTCTGTCATGAAACACTTTGTGTCATGCATAAGTTTATTTTGTAATGACTGCACTACACCTTGTAATGACCAGACTTTGTTATGCACTAAAGTTTATAATTACCAGTTATTGTAATAAACAAGTTCTTATGTTAATGGAATGATATTTTGAAACTGACACTACTACAGAAACACATATAATAACGTCTGTGTTACTACAGATATTCAATCAATCGTTGTAATATGTGATATTTAGGCGTGCATCTTTTTTATTTAACCATGATTAATTTAATACCCGTGGTGAAAAGTGGCGTATGGTCATGAGTTCAAGTCCTAACACCAGTATTTTTTGTTATTTACTTAATTTTAAAAATGCTGATAGATCTTTCACCATGAGTATTTAAATCAATTGCGGTTATAGGTGACAAACCTTTCACTACGGGTATTTAAATCAACCGTGGTTATAGGCGACGCCTCCTTTTATTTTAAGATATATATAACATTCTCAGTTCATTCACTTTTACCCTAGATGTACTTAGACAAGTTTTATCACATGCCTCCAAACTTCTTCCATTTACGAAATACTATTCATCTACTAAACCAAACTTAAAAGTATCATTTCTTCCACAAACAAAACCTAGAAACATTGCTTTCATTAATGTGTTACAGTGTGTTCATGTTTAACGATTCTACAGGTAAAATATTATTGTTTAACGATTCTATATATTTATTTATTTATTGTTGTTCGTATTGTTGTTCTTGTTGTTATTCTAATTTTTGTTCTTGTTGTGGTTATTGTTGTTGTTATTGTTCTTGTTATTTCTCTTGTTTATTCTTATTTTTGTTGTTGTTGTTGTTTTTGTTGTTGTTGTTGTTATTGTTATTGTTATTGTTCTTGTAGTTCTTGTTATTGTTGTTATTCTTGTTGTTCTTATTGTTATTCTTATTTTTGTTCTTGTTGGTGTTATTGTTTTTGTTATTGTTTTCGTTGTTCTTGTCTTTCTTGTTGTTTTTGTTGCTCTTAGTTTTCTTATTCTTATTGTTATTGTTGTTGTTTCTGTTCTTCTTATTATTGTTCTTATTATTCTTGTTAATCTTGTTGTTCTTTAAGCTGTTGTGTTAAAATATTTAATATTGTATATTGTGATGAAAGTTATGAATGTAGTCAGGTAAAATATGTGGCAAAAAAAATGTTGACAGACCTTTCACAATGGATATTTAAAACAATCGTGATTATAGATAGCATACTTTTCAGTTTTTTACAACGGTGATACGACTGTGATTGTAAGTAACACATATACAACCACATGCTACGTAAGAATGGTTGGTCTTGCGTGATAATATATATTGTTTTAACCGTTGTTGTATGTGTTTTTTATAGGAGAGTGAGATGTTTATATATGTTTTTATGTTCATATGTTCTTATGCTGTGATCAAATACTTACTGAAATGGAATAAAAATAGATACATATTGTTACATACTTAAATGAAATATGACTATGTGATGTTGTGATCAAATACATAATGCAATGGAATTAAAACAGATACATACTGAAATAGAATATGATTATGTCATGTTGTGATCAAAATGGAATTAAAACATATACATACTGAAATGGAATATGACTATGTCATGTTGTGATCAAATACATAATGAAATGAAACAAAAACAGATACATGCTAATATGGAATAAAAAAACTAAAATATCATTAAAAACCAAAATGCCATTACAATTTCAGAGGCACTCATATGTCATTACTTTTACAAACTACATTGCACAAACTGCCTTTTATATGACTATGACCTACTTCATTATATTACACATGACTAATCCTATTAGTAATACAAAAGTGACGGACACGCTAAATTTCAACATCTTCTTCATGAACTTCATTTTAATCTTCATTTCCCCCCTCTTTTTTCTTGACTTAATTGCATTTCATTTTTTCTTCAATCAAATTTTGCAGCAAATAAGAGATTATATCCTTACCTCTTGGAGACATTTCTTAATCATACTAGAAAAAATGGTCACACCTCTTATAATCATGTAGCTGAATTTTTAGAATAAATTGAGGGATTTCAAGAATCAAACATTCGACATAAAAGAAATAACAACAACCAAAGCATTACCTTAAATATCTCCCATTTAGGTTTAAATCTGTCTAAGATGTCATCGATGGATATTCCAAACCACATTTGCACTGGTCCAAATATGAACGCGAAAGCTTCAAATAACTCGATTTGGAACATTGAAACATGATGAATAGCAACTGTTTGACTCAATTCGACTTAAATAACACACAATTCGAAAGGAAAGAAGAAAATCAATTTTAAGATTTCAAAAAAGGGAAAAGGAACTCAACAAAGAAGACGATGGATCATTTTATTTTATTTTATTTTTAAGTAGTACATTTTTGTCGTTTTAATAGCTAATATAATTAATTAAAAATGTATTAAAAAATAATTTAAATATTAATTCAACATTTTGAAGTATTTTAGTGATATGACAAAAGTTAAAAAATATTATACATAGATTCACATGCCAACTAAGTAAAAGAGATTGTTTTTTCATCTAAGACCACTAATACAACATGCAATCCAATACTATAAGACCATTTTTTAAAATAGAAACTAAAAAAAATTCAAAATAAATATAGAGAACAAAACTACATTTAACTTTTTTTAATGAAACCAATAGTTATTCTGGTTGAAAAAAAAAAGTTACTAGCAAGTTAACTTAATCTAGTATATACTTAAAAAACAAGTGAAACTAAATACTTTAAGTCAAAATTATACTACTCCGTTATTATAACAAAAGTTAAAAAGGAAAAGAAAAGAGGAACCAATTTTTGCTCATCAAGAAAGAAACAAAATTTAACGTGTGAATGTGGCGTTTTTCTAAATTCCAAATCATATCGAACCAAGTTATCGTTGTAATCTCGAAGCTCTGAAGAAGTTTCGTCGTGTAAATTCAAATACTGAAATTCCCAAATCGAGGTTCCAATTTCACATTGCCAAGTACTATTATGTGCCACATCGAAAAACCCTAAATTGATACTTATTTTTTGTTCGATTCACCGGGTAAGTTTCAAATTTCCGTAATTTTCATGTCAATTATTTGTAATGCAAGATTTTCCCCCATCAAATTCTGCTTCAAATTGTGTTAATTCTAATTCTTAGGGTTTCGTTTCGCGTTCAAGAAACAGAAACCCTAGACGGTTTTCAAGTAATTGGGAGCTGAGATTTGATTAGGGGACGATTTTCGTGTTGATAGAAGATTGGAAATGAAGGCGCTGAATGGGTTATTGGGTTTAAGGCGCAGAAAAATTCATGGGGTTTTCAATGGTTTGTGTGCTATGGTTGTTTTCTTCTTTTTTTACAATAGGGAAGATATAATTCGTAATCCGCTTCTTAGAGAATCCGCATATTTGGTTAATCATCATGGTTTGCCTCAAAATTCAATTTTGAAGGATGGGGTTTCTGTGATTTATCGTAGAATGGGTGAGATTAGTGCTAACGCTTCGAGTGTAGCTGCTGACAATGATATGGGTGTGATTAAACCTGGACTGTGTGTTGGATTGCTCCACCATGATGGTTATGATAGCCCTTGTGAATTCTTAAAGGTTAATTCTCAGTGCACTTCTGAAGGGTACATTGATTACTTGAGGTTTTTCTATTGTAAATGTCAAAGTTTCAGGGTTCTTGGTTATCTAGTATTGGGTGTTTGGCTTGCCGCTTTGTTTTATCTCTTGGGGAATACTGCAGCCGATTATTTTTGTCCTTCTCTTGAACATCTCTCGAAGCTCTTGAAATTGCCTCCAACTGTGGCTGGTGTTGTTTTGCTTCCACTTGGGAATGGTGCACCTGATGTGTTTGCCAGTATAGCTTCGTTTGTTGGGACTGATACGGGTGAAGTTGGTCTTAACAGTGTATTAGGCGGTGCTCTGTTTGTTACCACTGTTGTTGTTGGAACTGTTTCTCTTTGTGTTGCGGACAGGAAGGTTCAAATTGATCAAAGATGCTTTGTAAGGGACCTGAGTTTCTTTCTGTTCACCCTTTTTATGCTGCTTTTGATTTTGTTTGTTGGTAAGATAGGTATTGGGGCAGCCATTGCCTTTGTATCGATTTATGTTGTTTATGCATTCATTGTTGCTGCCAACGAGCTATTGCGGAAACATGCACAGATGTTGAAATTGGATGCTGTGACACCTTTGCTTCCTGTCCAAGGAAGTGTATTCGCTGTTGGTACTGAAGAGGATACGACAATATATAGCTCTTTGCTTGACTTAGACACTGAGAGTGATCCTCCCCGTCTCCCACCTTCCCTGCCTCAGTGGATGTGGTCTTCAAATGTGGCAATATACTCAAACCAAGCAAATAAAATCAATTATTCAGATGATGAGAGGCCTCCTTGGGGTTGGAGTGATGGATCCACGGAAAACACCAGTTCTTCCTTCTCTGTTTCAAAGCTTTTTTTATTCATGGAGATGCCACTAGCAGTTCCTAGACGGCTAACAATTCCAATGGTTCATGTGGAAGTATGGTCAAAGTTCTTTGCCGTGGCCAGTGCATCATTGGCTCCCATTCTCCTGGCCTTTTTGTGGAGCACCCAAGATAATGTGAGTAATACGAGTATTATACTTGCTTATTGTTTTGGGGTTTCTGTTGGAAGCACACTTGGTATTCTTGCGTATAAATACACAGTGTCTGATTGTCCACCGTCTCAGTATTTGATACCCTGGGTTCTCGGAGGATTTGTTATGAGCATAGTTTGGTTCTACATAATAGCAAATGAGCTTGTGGCTCTATTAGTAGCTTTTGGTGTAATTTTTGGAATTAATCCATCGATTCTTGGATTAACCGTATTAGCATGGGGAAATTCAATGGGAGATTTAATGTCAAACGTTGCATTGGCATTGGACGGAGATGATGGAGTTCAGATAGCTTTATCTGGATCCTATGCAGGCCCTATGTTCAACACACTTGTTGGTTTGGGAATCTCATTGCTGCTTGGCGCATGGTCAAAGAAACCTTGTTCATACACGGTGCCTGAAGACAGTAGCTTATTCTACACAATGGGATTTCTTATCACAGGACTCCTATGGGCACTTGTTGTTTTACCGCGCAACAACATGCATCCTAGCAGAATGTTTGGGATGGGTCTCATCATCCTTTATATGCTTTTTCTTTCTTTCAGAGTATGTACTTCTTTGGGGCTAATAACAATTGCCGGTTTAAGTTAGACTTTTTAGCAATCGATCTACGTTGTAATCATAATGATCCTGGCCCTTTGAGCCATGAGAGGTAATTTCTGTCGTGCAGATAGCTGATAATATAGGACAGAAAGTTCAGGAAGTAGAAAATCAGTCTGTTGTAGTATGAATGTGTTACCATTGTTGTATATCCAAACACTTTGTTTAAAAATTGTTTAATTTTGTGTTAATATTTAGCAACAAGAAAGCAACATAAGGATCATGAACCATAAGATAAGATATTCTAAACAATTTTCTCTCCATTTTGCAAGAATATCTACACAAGCATGCTCTTCAAAAAAGCTAGCATAGTGATGAAACCATTGAATATAATTTTACCTAGATTATAATAAATGAATTACCATTTGCATGGCTCTAATAGGTGTTGTCACATTACATCTTTCAGCAACTTCGATACTGCAGAGCATCTCTGACACTTTCATCTAAAAATAACAATTCTACCATTTTATAATTCCCAATTTGACTATATGTCCTTCTATTATCAGATTTTTCAAACCTTCTTTTAACAAAAACAAAAAAAGCAAAATCAGAAAACTCTTTCTTTTTTCCAGTTTCCAGTTTCCTACATGACAGTCACGTGTGCTTTGTTACCCTTTTGTCACTTTCTCAGGAAAATCTCAACCAATCCAATTTTAAGTGCTCATGTGCAAGTACAAAGTTAACCCATTTCTCAAGTTTCTATCTTTCCACTAACCAACCATAAAGGTTCAAATTTTATTCACTCTCCAGCCATAGCCACTACATTTGTTCATTGTTGTAGTAAATTCAAATGGATGGTGAATACAACTTTTCTTCCATGTCCTTAGCATCAAATCCTTCATTGGAGAAACAAATGAGTCCCAAGTCACCACTTCCAGGGTTTGTAGATTTTCATGGGAAGAGAAAACAGATTGTAAAGATTCAAGCTTTGGAAAGAGAAATTAATTTGCTTCAGGTGCATATGTCTAATATTAACTTATATCGTAATTTGTAGTTCTCTCAGAAAATAGTCAGTATTAAACACTGACACAGTAGTATAACACTTGTTATTACATACAATCGCTTCCACTATGTTTATGTATCAGTAACTTGTGTATATGTGAGTTTGATTCGACTGCACAATGATAGTAATGATCTTGAGATTTATTTTGCTCTTAGGAAGAGTTAAAATCACTAGAAGGTCTTCAATCAGCTTCAACATGCTGCAAAGAGTAAGGTCTCAACCCTTTCATGTAAATATTATATTATATATGCTAATTTGAAAATCAACATTTTCCTTAACAGGCTTGATGATTTCGTAGGTTCTATTTCAGATCCCTTCACACTCACGTAAGAATCTCCAACTTTGTCTCTTAATCTTTAAGTTATCAATTAATTTATGCTATAAGTCTTATTGATGCAGAGGAAAGCACACAATCTCTGAATCTCATTACTTCAAGAAGCAGATTAGGTACTCAGTTTTTGTCTATCTATGTATCTAACCTTTTCATTTTGAAATATATTTCTTTCACATGCTTTTGTTTCAAGTTAATTTTTTTTTCTTTTTTATTAGTCTTCCATGCTGTTCCTGCAAATGCTATCTTCATAAGAAAGTTGCAAAGGGTTGTTGTTCATGCTGTTCATCATCAAACTTCAAATGTTTTGGTAGCAGTTGCTTGAAGAGTACTAGATTGTCGAAAATTGTTGCCAAGTTTTGAAGTACTTACACACATATTGTGTTTGATGTTGTTTGTGTTATTCTTTGTAAAGTTGACATGGATCATTTTTATTAGTCTTCCATGCTGTTCCTGCAAATGCTATCTTCATAAGAAAGTTGCAAAGGGTTGTTGTTCATGCTGTTCATCATCAAACTTCAAATGTTTTGGTAGCAGTTGCTTGAAGAGTACTAGATTGTCGAAAATTGTTGCCAAGTTTTGAAGTACTTACACACATATTGTGTTTGATGTTGTTTGTGTTATTCTTTGTAAAGTTGACATGGATCATTTTTATTAGTCTTCCATGCTGTTCCTGCAAATGCTATCTTCATAAGAAAGTTGCAAAGGGTTGTTGTTCATGCTGTTCATCATCAAACTTCAAATGTTTTGGTAGCAGTTGCTTGAAGAGTACTAGATTGTCGAAAATTGTTGCCGAAAATTGTTGCCAAGTTTTGAAGTACTTACACACATATTGTGTTTGATGTTGTTTGTGTTATTCTTTGTAAAGTTGACATGGATCATTGTTTTGGTTGTTTGAATTATTAGTATTGTCATGCATTTGATGTATCTAAAAAATATCATAAGCTCAAGAAGGAAGCAAACATGACTTAAGAATGGGAAAAAACCAAAAAAAAAAAAATGAAAATTTGTCAGAAGTGGGATTTGAACCCACGCCCTCTTTCGAAGACCAGAACTTGAGTCTGGCGCCTTAGACCACTCGGCCATCCTGACAGATGTTAAATACTTTCAAGTTTTACATTAAATACTAAATAACAGCTTACTTAATTGTTGATAAATGAACCTGAAAAGAAAAGAGAAAAGAAAACTATGAGTTTTAGTTGCAGTTAGTAGAGAAAGCTGAAAGGAAAGGAAGGAAAAATAACTTTAGCTTTGACGTAGGAAATATTAAACATATAAAAAAATATTTCCTAATTGACGTAGTAGTAAATTAGGAAATAATAAATCTATATTTTTTAAAATATTTTTTTTATTTTGTTTACATTAAATGTAAATAGTAAACAAAATTTTTAAAAAATAGATTTACTATTCATAAGCATACAAACTATAAATAATATCACTTGAACTCTCCTAAAACTTCTACTTTCAAAAAAATATTCAAAGACTCTGTCAATTGATCAATATTTAAGGTGGTTAAAACTTAAAATATAAATATAGTAGTAAGTCTTAACTCTTGATCTTACATAATGAAAATTTACAAAAGATATGCAAATTGTAATACATCTGAAAATGCTGGTTGATAGGTGAGAATCACAACTCAAACATATAAAATAACATATCAAATACTCAAAAATACAAATTTTATCTTATTATTTTGTCTCCTTTATAAATACTCAATTCATTAAGGATCCGTTTGTTTTAATATTTTTTTAAAATAGCTTTTATAATACATTATTGTTGAAATTTTTATAATTTTTTTAAATAGAAATTTGATTTGAATAGTTATTTTAAAATGTTATTTTAAATATTTCATTATCATATTGAAACTTTTTTTTAGCTATTTTTAAAAATTCACTTAATTTAAAATTTATTTTAAATAATTATTTATAAAATTATTTTTGAAATACATTTTTTTTAAATTAAAATTTTAATTATGTTTTGATTTTCAATAATAATGTATGTATATGTTATAAGATATCAAAATTAATATTTCAATTTATATAAAACAAATTTAATTTTTCTTTTAATATTTTAAATTTTTTTCATAAAAATTATTTTTAAAAATCTATTTTTTAAAGATAAAATAAATAGATCCCTTATCACGGTCTAACATACTTCATATCAATAACACAAATTAAGTCAATTTTTTTTGCCAAAAGGATCTAGAGGCTTGGAGAAACATAAACATTCTTGCATAACTCATGAAACAATTTTCATGATTGGCCTCTCCCAAGGAAAAATTCTTTCACATTTGCTCCATTTAGAAGTAGAAATAGGCTGAGTCAAGTTAGGCTTTGTCAGACCTAAATTTAGTCTGCCAAAAAAAATCGAAGCCTAAGTCTAGTTTGTAGTATGTCATAAACTTATTTTTAGGCCTGATCCTGACCTTTTTGAAGGTCTGACTTATTTTTAAGTCTGAGTGATCAAATGATTGTAAAAATAGTAGAGTAACTCATAAGACACTAAGACAACTCACACCCACCTAAAATATTTTTTAGGCCTATCTCTATTCGATAAAACCACCTAAAAATATTTTTAGGGTCTATCCAACTAATTAAGAAAATGTCTGATTGATCAAAAGACTTTTTTTTGAACTAAATAATCGATTATACCTAATGATCTAATCGATTATTTTGGCTAAATTGGGTCTAAAATCTATTGGAATAGTCTCTTAATGATTGATAACGACTATCTATAAAAATCTTCCATTTTGTGGCTTGAATAATTGAATATTAAAGGTCAATAATTGAGCCTAATCGATTATGTATTGATTAGGTCCATGAGTTGTTTCCTTTTTTAGCCTTATTTTCTTCTATATAAAGGAGACTTTTCCTCATCCAAAATCATACTAGAATTCATAGTTTTCTTATTCACTACTACATAATATATATTTCATAACATTTTCTTACCACGATTTATTAATGCATTAGAAGTAATATATATTAGATATGTGCCTTTTTTTAATCAATTTTCTCCAAGTTCCATATAAGCAACCCTAGGGGGACATGCTTCAAATATCAATCCCAACTATTTTATGTTTTTTGTTTATAAAAAGGAGGTTTTCACCACGGTCCATATTAACAACCATGGTTAAATATCATAGACATTTCACAATGGTTCCTTTTATCAATCATGATGAAATGTTTTACCTATATAAGCTAACTTTGTTGAAATAAAATTGGTTTGTCCTATATCCCTTGGGTTTTGATGATGAGAAAGTATTTAAAGAACAAAAGAGTATAATAATATTTGTTCTATTGTGCAGGATCATAAACTAAAATTCATATTAAATTCAAGTACTGGTTCTGAATATGAACATTCAAAGAAAAACATAAAAATAATATTCTGATGTATTGGAACCTGAAGAAATAATTATGAAGAAGTCATCTTCCAAGGAGGTCAACATTGAAAGATAAGGAGTCAGCCTCTGAAGAACAGACTTTGGAGAAGTTTGATTCCGATGATCAAAACCTGAGCTAGTCAAAGCGCAAGGACCAAGGTGACATTGAAGGGTCACTATTCAACTCTGAACATACTTTATCACATGATAACCTATAGCTCTAGGTTCTTCGTAGAGTCTGTTAGGATACAATTTCTAATTCCTTTTGAAGCAAATGTTATTCAAACTAGGTTTCACCTAACCTGACAGTTTGGTGAAACATCCCAACGTCTCCCAACGTCTCTTTTGAAGCTTCTCAAAGGACTCAAAGGTTACATCTTCAATGAGTATTTTTCTCATTATTTAAGGAACTAAATGACTTAAAGATCAACACAATACAACATTACAACAATACAATAACATAATATACAAGAACACAACACACGTTGTACATGCTAAACAAAGATTGACAAGAAAAAAGAAGTCACCATGTCAAAGTTTTAGCACTAGCTGAACTTATGATTTCTTATCCTTGAATATCTTAGAAGTTATTAAATTCTAAAATAGTCATACCGTGTTGTATTATTTATACACCTATGATTTTATATTTAGTGTATTCACCCAACAATCATTTATCTACTAGGTAGATTGTTAGAAGTATCTTACTAAGTGTTTGAGTAAGAAAGTATTTAGCTTGTGTGCTAAAGCAAGGAATTCTTGAGCTTGTATGCTTTAGCGAGAAAGTCTCATGCTTGTGTGTGTGAGCAATGAGATTTTGAGCTTGTGTGCTTGAGCAAGGAAGTCTTAAGTATGTGGGCTTGAGCAAGAAAGTCTCAGATTTGTGTGTTTGAGCAAGGAAGTCTTATACTTGTGTGTGTAAGTTAAGAAGTTTCTTGCTTGTATGCTTTAGCAAATTGTAATCTTGATTAGTTATAGTAAAAATCTCTTGTAAGTACAAGGGGACTGGATTACTCTTGGTTTGTGAAAGGAACCAAAATAACTTTGTGTGTTATTCTTCTTTCTTGCATTTTATATCCACTACCCATCTCTAATTTATTCATATTCTATAACCTAGAGTTTGGAATTTGACTTAAGAGTTTTAAAAAGAAAGAAAAAAGAAAACACAATTCAACCTCTCTTCTTGTGTTTTTCTCACCTTCAGTTGGTATCAGAGTTTGGTTTGTGTTTAACACTTAACAGTGGTACAAAAAAGATCCTGAGAAAAACATATAGAAATATGTTTGGTGTTTTCGAATCTGGGCGTGATACTCCTACTCCACATGTTTCTATAAATCATAGTTATAACAATCCAGAAAAAATAATTGTACAACTAGACCTCTAACTCTCAATGGAGACTCTATTGAGTTTGAATGGTGGAGGAGTAAAATGTATAGTCACACCATAGGCCTTGATGATGATTTGTGGGATATTCTATAAGATGGCATTGATATTCCAGTAAATGGAGTTAGAATGGTGTCTGATAGAAAACCTCTCACACCAGCTCCTGACAAGGTCTATAGAAAATATCATAGAGTTAAAGGTACCTTTGTTGACGCTCTACATCATTCAGAGTGCATCAAAATCATTGATAAATCAACTGCTAAGATCATTTTCAGTTCCCTAAGTGCTAGTTATGAAGGGAAATAACAAGTTCAGGTAACTAAGGCTAATGTTCTGGTTCATAACTATGAGTTGTTCATAATGAAGGAGGATGAAGATACTGAAACCATGTTCTTTAGGTTTCAAGTTCTAGTATGTGGACTTCAAGTTCTAGTATGTGGACTTCAAGTTCTAAACAAGAGTTATAGTACGTCTCATCATGTAAATAATATTCTTTGAAGTTTTCTTGTCAGACACGGACATAAGGTGGTAGCTATATAGAAGGCTAAAGATTTAAACATATTAAGTCTTAAAAGTCTCATTAGTAATCTCCATAGTCGTGAGA